TCTTCTCTTCTCTTCTCTTCTCTTCTCTTCTCTTCTTGATCTCACAATTTTCAATTCAATTTCAATTTATTTGCACTGTTTCTTTCACTTTTACATAATAGAATTACAAGAATAGTGTACATAGATGAATACTTTTTACTATAACTAACATATAATAGGTGTAAGTGTACGACAGCCAAAGGAGCTAAAGCTTTCTAGTTGGATGTCGTAATTTTCAATTAGGGTCAAAAAAGAAAAAGAAAAAAATAACTACAAGGCTATAATATTATAATAATACTATCATATTAAATTCAACAGTATAAATTTCAACTTGGCGAAAAAAGAAAGAAAAAAGAGATAAATGAAATTTATATATATTCATATATGTATATGTAATAGGACTCAATACTGTCCAATTAAGCGGAAATAATTGGACGAGGAAAATTCCGAGGACTGACAAAATTGGATGAGGCCAATTTGGCAGTCAGAGGAGTTTTTCGAGTCTAATTATTTCTTGATTGGGGAGCATGAAATCCCATTACCTATTGATCATATAGCTGCCCAATTAATCTCATATCAACAAGACCTGTACAATTAAGAAAATAATTGGACAGTTACCTATATGGGATTAATGAGAAGCTGTATGATTAAATGATATAGTTGTTATTGATTATTGAGTAAGAATTCCTTATACATCTGTTTGAAGGACGCTGTGGTTGATAGGAAGGATTTAGTGAGTTCGTGGTGCATCAAGGGAAGGAAGTAAGAGAAAGGCGAAGCGACTGGTATATTACCAGAATTTTCTTGCACGACTTTCAAATATCTTGCAAGCATTCAATTTTTATCACTTTTTCTCCCTCCTTCCCAAAAGCCATCGCACGCATTAAAAAAGCGGGAGTGACGACTGGGTACGAGTCTGGTGATTGGTTATATTTTTGTTCGATTGGCTCCGTTCCAAAATGACTTCATTTCATTTGGGATGTTTTGTGCTATAACGTAAGACTGCAAATAATGAATAATCTAGTGATTATCAAGAAAGGCATTCGTAATATGTATAGAAGTCCATAGAATACGATTTGCAAGCGGGTTCAGTTTCTAACCACATAAACAACCGCCACTATTAGTAATTGTATTAGCATATCGGCGAGGGGATCTTATGCGGAAGTCAAGCGAGTAAACAATACCAGAATATATTCTCGTAACATATATATTTTTATGAACACTTTCGCTATCTACTGTACACTTCATTGTACATTGTGAACTCAGGGCCCCAAAATCTTAGAAAAAAATGATCACAGCAATTGTACATCTGGTTGCCTTTTTAGTTGAGAACTGCACTGGTGTTGCTATAACAGAAACGCAAGGAAAACAAACTGATTTTGAACAGGGGACAAATTTACAGTCATCATTGCTGGAAGAACCCAAGTCATGTCCTCTACAAGACTTCATAACGCTTGATCCAGAAGACGTTATATTCCAAGAGTTTGATCCCCCAAAATACCTTGAAAATGAACCTCAAGCATGGAAAATAAACTTGCCAACATTCAAGAAGTCTTTCTGGGAGTGTCTGAAGACGGTGTTGCTGATCCAAGGACTAGCTGTACCACTTACTGGAATCATAGCTGTCATTGTTATTTTTTTGGATTTCCATACAGCTGAATGGTGCTATGATGAAAGTTGGACTAAGATTCCTAAGAATGTGCAACGCCTAAAGATTACTGTTAAATGCTTGGAGTGCTTCTTAATCCAAGTGTGGGATTTTTTCTTTCTCTGTATATTGTTTCCATTCTCATTGATCAGGGAACTTAACGTGCACACACTCATTCTAGCAGGGTGCTTTTTGGACGTGGTATTAAGACTGTATATTCAAATGTATGGAGTTTTTAAAGGCCCTTGGTTGTCAATTCCACTGGACTCCATGTTCGGGTTTATAATGATGGTAAATCACTATCGCTTGGCTCGTCACCTTCATCCGCATTCCATGAAGGATGCTTTGAAGTTTCACTTTGTTATTACTTTGCAGTTGTTTCTTGCAGTCCCTGTCTGGTTTGTCTTGGTTTATGAAATGATTCCATTTTATCTCCATCGACAGAAGAGTACAAAATTAATCATTGCTGCGTTATACCCCCTTTTGACTCTTATTCCAAAAGCAGTTTCTCGCCTCGCAGCACAGAGCGACATCTTGAAAGAGGTCATTCACCCGGGTAGTGCTCACATCCTCGTTGCAGTAACATATGGTGTTTCAGCTGTTGTATTTCGCGTGTTGCAAGCAGAACTAACAAGCAGCATTGGTCTCTTCATAGCTCTGGGAATAGCTCATGCCATCATAGATCTTCTGGAGAGGATTACTATTACAATGAGAGATCATATCTGGGAGCATTTGTATCGCTTGGTGCGACGACAAGGAAGTAAACAACCAAAGTACCGCAGTCTAAGAAGCAGGCGTTTGATAGCTGATGTCAGCATCCAGATCATGATGCATGAAGCAAGTGCTCTGATGATTGGGTTAGGATTCTTTAACATCTACCAATTTATCTATGGTAGAAGATCTTACACAATCTATCAGTGCATAACAGACTTCCTAACGGGTACAAGTATTGGCCTCGCAATCGACATGACCATTAACACGCTGTCTCTCTTGATCCAAACTCGACTCATCAACTTGCCCGTCAACAGAGTATGGAAGAAGAAATGGCGACATCATATTCTAGCTAACAGTCTCATCGCTTACATCTCTGTTCTTTTCTTTAGTGAGCACTTATTTCAGGTAATCCGAGATAAATACGACTCCCATCTAGGTTTTGATGTACTCCACGGACTCAATTGTTCTTTTCCAATTTTTCTGTAATCAAGCTCGCATGTTTGGCACATATTTGTTTTTTAGCTTGCTAGTTTTTATATAAGTGTGTATATTTGTATCCATTACTGTAGATATTTAGTATTGTAAGAGCCAAATTTGTTGTTTGGATATTGCTAATAAACCGTTATTATTATTATTATTATTATTATTATTATTATTATCAGCAGTAAACACGTTTGAATGCTAATTAG